TTTTGTCAATAAGTGTAAAGTCGCCCATCCACCTAAGCATTCTCATCTCGGCAACACTTAACTTAGTTTTATGCTTCTCTTTTAAAGGCCAAGATTCCGCACCATAGAGCATTGTAGGTCTCATCACCATCTTACAAAATTTTCCTTTCAGTCTAAGCAGCACTTTTCTACTGCAAAATAGGCCAATTCAAAAACATCAAAATAATATAAAAAATAACACATAACCTAATGGCATTGCTCGATCCCGTTGCAATCAATAATAAAAAAGAGGCCTTCTTTTACAACAAAATGGACCTAAAAATATATCTCTAAAAATCTTGATGTCACAAAAGATGTTCTTGATATTCTAGCTTGGTAGAATGTCTTTGCACCAAATTTTCAATATTCTGCAAATGGCTAGCAAGCAAATCCAATATCTACAATTCCATAAAAGTCAATTTTTAGCATAAGGAGACACATTCTTGATGCATTCAGTTCTTATGTAAGCTCTAATAAGTCCTCAAGAGTAGATGTGAGCAAAATGGACAATCGATCCTATATTGTGGAGGATATATACAACATGGATAAATTTGATGAGCTTATTTTTTAAACGAGTTTTTCTTTAAATACATTTGATGTTTAAATTCAAAGTTTTGTTACCAATGTTCTGTTAAAGACTCGTCAAAGTTCACATCTGAATCGCAACCTTTGTTCTATGTTTGATGAGAATTATCTGCATGCATATATGCAGTTACAAACAATATGCATCTAAATTGTTTTTGATAATGTACAGGTGTTTATATGTTAATGTACTGTTTAAATAGTTTAAACTCTGTTAAGGAATCCAGCAACTATCATAACAATAAATTATATTGGTGCTATAATATTAAGTGCTGTTTTGCCATAACTTTACAAATCATATATAGAACCGATCATAGTAATCCTAATCATTCAAATAGATGCATTTAAAGCATTATGCATGTAGCGAGCTCTCTCAGATTGGAAACTGCATTAGCACCAACAAATACAAGAAACTGTACATTTTGCTTTCACACATATCATATCAAATTTTTCACAACTAAATAATTTATTTCTTGTGAATAATATGATGTTTTTTTCTGGTTGGAAATCACAATGATCGATAACTTAATGATTATCAAGTAAATTATATTGTTAACATTTTCAATCTGCATAATAATCAACACCGGCCCATTATTATTTGTTTTTTTTTTTTTGTGTTTCAAATTACAGGGGATGATATAATTCTAGCCTTTGCTGATCAAACAAAAGAAGCTGTTTAGCTTGTCACAAGTTTTATTTACTTTTAAGTAGATGTTCCAGCAATCTATCTTTCTACCTAGCTTCTTGTTGAATAAATTCAACATATGCTAATCTGATATGGATTACTGATTTAATAAAAAATATCAGTACTACTAAAAAATACAACCCTTTCAAAACAAGCGAATTTAATCTTAAACACCGCATATAAAAGGATAAGGATCTCTTGGTTGAAAGGTTAAGCCCTCAACGATCAAGCTAAAGTTGTGAATTCAAGACCTCTTGGGTGAAAACTAAACATTCAACCATCAAGATAAGGTTGCGAGCAAAGCTGATGTTATTTTCTGGACTTTAGATCGAAGAACTGATTGGTTTCAAAAATCAGTCAATTAATAAATCAAAATAAACCGAATGCACCCCTCTATTTGTATTAATTCAATTAATCATTCACAAATCTCGATGCTATCTCGATAAAATTTGAGAAAGAAATATTCTAAATTCAAATTCAAGATCTGACCACGATTTATAGCAGATTTATAGTCAAACTTGGCTTCATGACAAGATGAACCTAATAACAGAAAAAAGATTCAATCTGAGTCCAAATAAGCTCGGATCCAGTTATTACAACGTAGTTAAAAGATTTGGCGGACTAATTGAAAAGTCAATCTCAAATTTTAGCATCTTTATAGTCAAATCAAGCAGTTCGACGATAGCAATCCGACGAGTCCAAAATCATTTAATTCTAAGGACATTGGGACACTTAAATATTAAAAAAAACTATTTGTGAACAAGATAATAAATATGGACCGTCCCATGAGTGTATTGAGATCTTTGCTAAATTTACTAAAATATCCCCCTCAAAAATTATAAATAGGTGGAGAGGAGAAGAGACGGGGGTTAGCTGACTACAAAAGCTTAACTCTTGAAGTCTCGATGGTAGTTATCAGTCAAAAGAGTTTGTTGTCAACCACCGCCAACAAATGCTACAACAAACTACGATTGTTATGGATACTAATTATAACTTTTGTAGCAAACTATTGTTAATGTAACCATCAACTAAAATTTTTGTAATCCAATTATGATTGTTATAGCTAAAAAACTATCATAAAATTAAGATTGCCAATTTATTTAATCTTATCTTCCATAATTCAGGAGATGAGTGAACTTCTATACTTTCAATTTCATAATGTATTACTCTTGGCTGGGCTAGACCTCATTATTTTTTTCTTTCCAAGATTTGTTCAAGTAAAAAAATTGATTTTCTTACATCTCTATCTGTGTGTGTGCTGGAATATTATATTGAACAATAAAATTTTCCAACACGCAACAAGTGGAGAAGCCAAACTCATATCTTCAGCCAATGGGACCAGTGAATAAATCTATCTCAAGTTACCCTTAAAAGAACTGGAGCTATTGTCAAGACCCTAATGATGTCATTTGTGACAATGAGAAGGATATATGTACAGCTCATAATCATGTGAACGTAGGTGGCCTCCCTATTACAGGAAAATTTGATAATAGGATTTTGTGTAGCTCTGCATTGCCTCCTCGGCAAAAGAACCAAAGGATTAGCCAGAACCATATCTAAAAAAATGATAAACAAACTTAGACATACATCCAACTTTAGGAGTGTTGAAAAATTTGTTGCTTTCTTTCAATTAATCGAGGATCCAATGTTCTTCCAAAAAAGAGAAGTTGGAGCGTGCGCGGTGCAGGACGCATAGTTGCAATAATGATTGTTACCTAATTTAAATGTTCCCTTAATGGACTACCGGCTGGAAGAATGCTGGAGCCTGCTACGGCTTGTTGAATATACCACGAATAGTTGCAAAGAAGAAAATATTCCAAAGATTAACCAAATTCATTGTTGATATTTTTGGACCTCCATCATGCAAATGTTCAATGGACATTTCCTAAAAGTGTAGAAATAAGAATGCTAAACAATCAACCTAATCTACTCTAAATGCTGATAAGGACCGAGGAATTGAAAAAAGGGGGCATTTTCATACATACCGCCCAATTACAATGTATTTATATATCTAGCACTTAAACTTTGGATTTTACATTTATACCACCCAAATCTTTCATATTACATAAAAAATGCCACCGTTTTAACATTTGCACATTTTCATGTATGTGAAAATTCAAGTTTAGGTGTTAGATATGTAAATATAAATATATAAATACATAGGAATTGAGTGGTATGCATGTAATATCAAAAGTGATACATCCCTGAAAAATCATATTAATCCGAATGAAACTCGATGCACAATTGAAAAATATTTCCAAATATTTCCAAATTCAAATTTGGAAATATTTGCACTCCAATTTATGATCAAATGAAGTATCTGAGTTAGGCAAACCAAAAGACATTAAAAATTATATGATATGAGGCCAGATTATTCACTTAAAACATAAAGAGAAGCTTTAGAACATGCATACTTTGAGGGAACAAATGATCTCAAAATCTAGCAAGTTCATAGTCAAATCGAGTGTCTCAAAGAGACGAAATCACTTATTTCGACATCATTAAGACCTTCAAATATGCATAAAACTACATCCAATCAAGAGAATCACTCCATTTCGTCTGATAAAGTGGTCCGGATTCATGCAATATTTACGGATGATGTCACTCCCAAAATCTATAAATATTCCCTCACTCTCCTCATGAAGGGGGGCCAGGACCTTGATAAGAAGGTTGAGGAGAGCTTCAAGCTCTTGAAGGCTAGATCACCACCATCGTTGGGCGACGTATGGCAACCGCCGCCGAACCACTTATATCAAGCCACCGTCATCGTGTCAAAAAACCATCGTCGGGTTATCACCGCCATAGGACCACCGGACTCGGCCAACGTCGGGCCATCATAATTGTGTCAGACCCATGACGTTAGGCCACCATTGACATCGTCATGTTGTCCCCGCCAACATCACGCTGCAATCGTAGGACCACCACCTCCATTCTAAACCACAATCATCGGGTTGTCATCACTATTGAACCACCGACATCCAACTGAGTGTCACACCACCAACATTGTGCCAGACCACCATTGTCCGGAGGACATTGCCACTAGACCACCAGCACCCAACCGAAATATTCCTGCCAACAAGAATTTAATGCTAGATTCTTTTAAAATCACCATAACAATGTAAATTTTGGCAGTTGCACTCCATATTAAATGTGTTTCAACTTTTAATTTTTGAATTTACGTCATGTCAGTGCATAATCACAATCTTTATTAACCTGAACAGTTGACATAAAATTAATAATGAATGAACTTAGAACTGAGCAATTCTTAGCGTGAACTGGAATGACAATTTGCAATTAGAAGATTACATTGGAGGACCTGAAAATGGTCATTTACTAGTAAAAAGGACCTCATGCCATAGGAGGACTAAGAAATCCGCTTTATTTAACAATTTTTTTCTGAATAATTATTAGCTCTTCTTATTAAACTGTGGCAGCCTATAAAAATTATCCCTGCAGTCAAGTCCAGCTCAAGTATCAGTTCCATAGAAATAATAATCAAAACTACAAATCAAACGCTTGTTACAGATCGCAAAAAACTTAACCAAATGGGATAAAATTTTAATCTATCAACTCTTGGGATAAAAATATCAGTCAATTGAAAAGAAAAAATAAAATAAAACTCTATACTCACTGGGACTTCTATGATTAACAAAGCAACGTACTAGATAAAAACGTTCATGAATCTTATTAAGGGAATAATTTCATTTGAATGTATACAAAATCATATTGCATAAAAAATAATAAAAAATAAATAGCAGCAAGTAATCTGATTTTAATGTTTATAAATTTGCAAAATGTTACCAGATCTAGTATAATATGCTGCAGCTCAAATATTAGCCAAAATCTCAGCAACTCAGCTGAGCCTATGCTTGCTGTGTATAAAAATTAGTTGATACAAAGTAATGGCTTCTAGGCTGGAAGACGTGAAGAATCTCCAACAACTGCTTCCATTCTTTGGTACCACTCTCCTATATCAGTGTTCTCAACCATATCCCTACCAGCCCTCAGATGGCGAATTGGTCTAAGAACCCCAAAGACAGCAAGGTCTGCCAGATTAGGCCTGGAACCACCTGTAGTTGCATTTCAAATATTAAATTAGAATTCGTCCGATGATCTTATACTGCTGCTACGATGTGAATTTCATTACAAAATAAATGGGACATTTGCATGCATACCACCCAAATCCTATGTATTTACATATATAACACCTAAAATTTATTTTTTATATTTATACCGCCCAAATCTTTTATATCTCGTCAGAAGTGCCATCATTTTAACTTTTAATCTATTTATCTTTTAAAAGGTGAAATACACATTTTCATGCATAGGTAAGGTGGCATGTAGGTAAAAATTGAGTTATAGGTGTTAAATATGTAAATACATAAGAATTGAATGGTATACATGTAAATCTTCCTAAATAAATTCAATACTACTTTCATAGATGAGACAATTTCTTCTACAGATATGCGGCACTCGGTCAAAAAGTCGTGAAGAAAAATGTGCATGGATTTATTAAGGGAATTTGTATCATCATATCACTCAAATTGACTATAGTACTATCTAATATCAAGGATATACCATCCAATTCCCAAAAAAAAAAAGGATATGCCACTATTAGAAAGATGTTAAATTGGTTAATTGGAGCAAAACTGAATGAAACATGGCAATTGATTCTGTTAAAAAACTAACCTTATGTTCAACAGTTAAAATAAAAATAAAAATCTCCTCAGCATGAGTCAGGTTAACACAAATAGACCTTAAAAAAAATAGCCCAGTCCAGAAATAAAATTGAGCCAAGCATGGCAGTCAATCTAAGTAGCCTAAAATTCTACCCAAATCAGTTTATTCACTTTTGACTTAATCAAGCATGACATTAAATTCTCGTAAGGAGGGTACATAGATTTTTTTTTTTTTTTTACATACATTAAAAGTTAGGATGCATGTTGTTACTTATATAAGAATCCCTAGTCATAATTAGAGGACCAAGTTCAAGAAATACAAAATAACTTAAAAAATTATTGCTTAAGCGGCCGCAAGGAGCTGAAAAAAATTAAACTGGATGAAGTTGTTGCTATTTTGCAGAAAATAAGCCGTAAACCTACCAAGAAAATCTCTGCCATCTAGAGCTTTTGTCCATGTTTGTGCTGCATCATATAAAGCAGCACGCTCATCAGTAATGCCGTACTTTTTCTTCAGCTTCTTCGACACCATGTACATCACTCCAGCACCAGCATATTTTGCAGTTAACCTCTCAGTAAAACTGAAGTTGCCTGCACTCGCATTATGTGAGCAAAGATGAATAAATATGCATCTCAAGTTTTAAAACTGAAAAAGAAAAAGAAACTTATAAGCGTAGCACACAGTACATATGTATTTACATATCTCAAGACCTAAACTTTCATATTTACATAAATAAAAATTTGGACCTTTAAACTTAAACATAAAAAGGTGTATTTCACTTTTAAAAAGTGATACTAATGCTATTTCTTATGTGATACTAAAGATTTGAGTGTTATGCGTGTAAATATGAAAGTTTAGTGTGAGACATATAAATACATAAGAATTTTGCGTCATGTATGTTAATGCCCCAAAAAAATGATAAAAATATCAATAATTCCAAATAAGAAAGCAAAAGCGTGCATTGGTTTATTCTATATCGTCTCATGTAACATGCATTTGTTCAAGCAGATAACAATCTCAATTGAGTAAATTCATAGCTCAAGTAACCTACACAAATAAATCCAGACTGGAAAGCAGTTGGTGAGAAATGAGAAAATGATACCAACATTATCAAAGTTGGATCGCCTGAAATATATCAAATGTACTTCAAAAGTAATAAAACGTGAAAGATAAAAAAATGTATTTGCCAACTAATCCATGTTAGATGGATTCATGTCTTCAAATTGAGTACAAAACTACTCTGAAATCCCCCATTCAAAAAGCAATATCTCGCACGTAAATAAGATTTCTCTACTAAAAAGTTATCAGAATTCATAAGATAAAAGTGGTTAACAATACTCGAATTTCAGAATTTAAATTGATGTACAAAACATGTCCGTTCAGGATCAGCAATTTGAGCTCATTTTAATATTTGACTTATAGTGTACTTTACGAAATTAATATTATGAATCACTACATTAGGAGAGTATCTGGATTAGAAAATATTCACTTATTTATGATTATTTTCGCCTTCATTTGTTTCCTATTGTACTCAAATATAGACTCATAGATTCCGTTGATAAGACATAAAATTCTTTCTTCTCAGCAATGTATCAGAGATTTTCTCATCCAAAAAATGTTGCTCATCCATGCCAGCAATTACCCATGTTAAAAGCCCAACCTATGCCCTATGCCCTATGCCCTATGCCCTACGCCCTATGCCCGTAGACCACACCTATGTAGCAAGCACTCTCCCACACTCTCTCATCCAAATCCATGCTCACCATATTCTCCCACATTAGTGATCGCTCGGCGGTTCTCCCATTCTTGAACTCCGCATGCGCTCTCCTTGCTCCACTGCCTGCCATTCTCTACTCGTTGCTACCCTAAGCTGCTTGCCGCTCTCCACATGCATGACCATTCTTGCTATATGTGCTTGATGTCCCACTTAACATATGCATGCACTTACTCTTACTCATTATCATACCCCTTCTTATTACCCTAGCAATCATCTATATCCATCCTTACAACTCAATCGTGCGACATGAGTTGTCAAGGCCAAAACTTTCCATCTCTATTATTTGAGTTTCCTCTCAATTTTTGGATTTCATAATACATTGTCATGGCTTTTGTCCCTAGTTTTCCTAAGACAAAATCATCCCACACCATCAACACTACCAACATATTTAAAAGTATGATGCGGGGCCCATGGGGGACCGGCAGGGAGCAAATCTAGCCCAGCTAAAACAGGCGGTCCTCTTGGAAGGGGCCCCACTGCCCCCTCCTTCCTCCTCTTTCCTATTTGTTTTTCTCCCTTTTTTTTTCTTTCCTTTCTTTCTCTTTCTATTTTCCTTCCTAGACTCTTTCCTAATTTAAATATTTTCTTAAAAGCCTAAATCCCGATTTTATTCTCCTTCCTTAAACCTTTCCTAAAAAATCCAAGATCTTGACTTATTTTAATTCTCCTTTCTTAATTTAAATGTTTCCCAAAATTGGGTCAAGTCTCTTATAAAAAGGAGTTGATGCGTCTGGAATTGGAGTTCTTGATTTTGAAATCTGAATTCAGTTTTATCTGTGTATTACTTCTTGGGGGTTGTATCTAACGACGAGGAAAGTATTCCGGCTATAAACACATCTGAGGTGGTGTTTATCTTCGTCGTTTCGACTACTACCTGTTGTCTTGCAGCTCGCCGACATTCCAACTCTTCCAACAATCTAGCCGGCAGCTTCCCTGCCTCCCTCTTACTCTTCCAGAGCATGCCACTCCTCCTACAACCTCTCAGCAGTTACCGTAGCCTCGACTAAGAAGGGATGAAGAGCGGCACATCCGACAATACAGGATTTGCCATTTGACAAAAACAAGAAGGCAGAATACAGGGTTGTATGCGTCGCTGCCTGTACCAAAAGCACTCTGGGTGGATGTCAGCATGGACTTCATAATAGGCCTCCCCGAAACACAATGGAACAAAGATTTTGTAATGGTTATAGTAGACCGAATTTAAAAAATGACACATTTCGTACCATGTCACCGCATGCTAGACGCCCCTTATATCACTGACTAGTACTTCCGAGAGATTGTCAGGTTACACGGGATTCCCATAACCATTAACTCTGATAGAGATGTCAAATTTTTTAGCCACTTTTGGCATACCTTATGGAGGAAGTTAGGTACCAAACTCCAATTTAGTTCAGCAATTCAACCACAGACAGACACTCAAACTGAAATAGTGAATAAAAGACTGAAAAACCTACTGAGATGTTTCGTGGGAAAGAATATCAAACAATAGAATCGCATTTAAGCTTATGCAGAATTTGCCTACAACAGATCCACAAGTAAGAAGATAGGACAGTCCATTCAAGATTGTCTACGACCGCAATCCGTTCACACCGCTTGATTTGGCCCCACTCCTACCAACGTTCGCACTCAGCCAAAATGCTACATAATGGGTTCACAAAATTCACCAAATACAAGAATAGGTTAGGAACAAGATTGCTAGACAACAAAAAATATCAAGCAGAAGCAAACAAATCAAGAAAAAAGGTGGCATTCCAAGAAGTTGACCCATCTGGATTTGGTTGAAAAATGAATGATTTCCTGTAAAGCTTTCCAGAGCACACGGACCTTTCAGAATTTTATGAAAACTCAACGACAATGCATACAAGATTGACTTATCAGTGCACTACAACATTTCAGCCACATTCAACGTCGCAAATCTTACTATGTACATTGAAGATCCAGAAGCTTCGACAGTTAAGGTCAAAGCTCCCCCACCACAGGAGACTGGTGCGGGGCTCATGGGGGACCGACTGGGCGCAGGTCCAACCTAGTTGAGCCAGTCGGTCCTCTTGGAGGGGGGGGCCCCACCGCCCCCTCCCTCTCTTTCCTTTCCATTTTTCTCACTTCCTTTTTCTTTCCTTTCTTCCTCTTTCTATTTTACTTCCTAAACCCTTTCCTAATTTAACTCATATTTTAAAAGCCTAATCCTGATTTTTATTCTCCTTCCTTAATTAAATCTTTCCTGAAAATCTGAAATCTTGATTTTATTTTTATTCATCTTTCTTAATTTAAATATTTTGTAAAATTAGGCCAAATCTCTTATTAATAGGAGTTCATGTATCTAGAGTCAGGAGTTTTGATTTTGAAATTTGAATTCAGTTTTATATAATTGTTTTCTCTTGAGGGATGTATCAGACGACGAATAATGTGCTCCAACTGTAACTCCGTCCGAGGTGGTGTTTGTCTTCGTCGTTCTGACTACTACCTGTTGTCCAGCAGCACACTAACGTTCCAGCTCTTCCAACAATACAGTCAGCAGCTTCCCTGCCTCCCTCTTACTCTTCCATAGTGTCGCCACTCCTCCAACCTCCCTGCAAGTTACCGCAGCCCCGCTGCTCTCCCAGATAGCCAGTCTGCCTACAGCCACCCTGTAGCTTGTCTCACTTCCCATTCCTCTCCGAGAGAGCTGCCACTTCATCTGCAGCCTACCTCCAGGTTACCGCAGCCCTGATGCTCTCCCAGATCGCCAAATGCTCCCTTGCAGCTTCCCTGCATGCCGTCACAGCACCTACCACCCCCTCATAGCAAACCGTAGTCTTCTCTCTAGCGTCCATTCTGCTACCGCCTCCCTCCCAACAGGCCGCAACCATCCTCAGGCCCTATGTTGTTATTATTAATGGTGTAGGATGATTTCATCTTAGGAAGACCTGTTATATTTCTAAAAAATATTATCTCAAAAAAGTGATAAGTAGATCCATAGATATTATAGTTGTTAAGGAGCAAATGGAACAAGTTACTCCGCAATTGCCCCTTCATAGACCTACAAAGTCGTTAGCAAAAACCAAATCAAAAATTCCTTGAGGCCAAATGTATCTCTAATAATATCACATAATGGCTAACTCCATATTGCCTGGTATTGACACCGTCTATTCCAAAGTCTTCAAGTCACCAAACTACCCAATCCTCCTCCAATCAATCGCTTTTGGCAAATCTTTGCAGGGGTGGCAAGGGCAATCAAGGGCATGGTGCAAGACTAATAGTGGTCGTGGCCTTGTCCAGAATACCTTCTCCTTTTACTCTAAATGAAACCATACTAATCATCCTCCCAAGCATTATTGGGAGAAATTCATTTAACCTTTCCACTCAACATGCTTAACATTAATTCTTAAACTCTTCCAGTGCCTCCTTTTCCTGATCAATAACACTTTCAAGAAGATTGTAAACAACTACACATTCAATCACAATAAATACTGTCTATTTTGATGTATTTTCATACTTTTTATGTCTGCTCTACCAACTACCATTGTTTTTTATGGTTCTCTCCTCTCCCATTTTGGAAACAGTGTTGTGCATTCTCTGAATCTCTCTCTTTTAGTGGGCTCTGTCCAACATTTCCCTATCAGTTTACCATGCATTCGTTGCCTTAACAGAACTTACAATAATTGGTAATATTTTATCCTTCTTATCCTCAACATGACCTTAGCTCGAAAAGAAATGGTTGATGGAGGTGTTGAAACCAACAATATTTAATACTGGACCATTGATGCTCCTTATGCTACTCTTCAGCTACGTATCATAGACATAGTTGATTTAGCCATTATCCTCGCAATAAACCTCAAGATTATGTTTGTCTAATTTTCACTATATTTGAATATTCTGCCTGCAGATTATATGAAAATTGTCACGTATCATTCTGCCTTCTTCATCTAGTTATCGACATGACCCATTTGATTGTGTCCAGTAAAATATTAAAGGCCCAAGTGTACTACTTACCGGCGATTTTGATACTGTCACATTTATTAATAATTAATCTATGGATATTTGAGTTTGCTAACTCAAATGTAGGTTAGAAGTTCTATATTACTTAAAATATTTTATCAAAAATAAAATCCCAAATACCTATTATAATTAAAATTTTAATAACAATGTTCTAATCTATATAATATCAATTTCAAACTTTCTATTTTAACAAATGATAGTAATTAATCATTAAAACTATTGCTCAATAAACCTCATAAATTGTCTGGTTGAACACAAAAAAGGTCTATATGACCTTAAGCTCGAAATGAATTTATTGATGGGGGTGCTGAAACCAACAATATTTAATAGTTTACCATTAATGCTCCGTATCTTATTCTTCACCACTACATATCATAAACATAGTTGATTTAGCTACTCTCCTTGCAACGAACCTGAAGAATAATAGTCTAAAATTCTCACTGTGTTTGAATATCTTGCCTGCAAATTATATGAACATCAACACATGTCATTCCGCCTTCTTCATCTGATTATCGGCATGAGCAATTTGATTGTGTCCGCTCAAACATTTAAGACCCAAGTATACTGCTTACTCATGATCTTGATATTGTCCCATTTATTATTAATTTTTTGAAGGATATTTGAGTATGCTAACTCAAATGTAGGTAAGAGTTCTATATTACTTAAAATATTTTATCAAAAATAAAATTCCAATTACCTGTTATAATTAAAACTTTAATAACAATGTTCTAATTTATATAATCTCAATTTCAAACTTTCTATTTTAACAAATGGTAATTGATCACCAAAATTATTACTCAATAAACCTAATATATTGTGTCGTTGAAAACAAAAAGTTCATTTGTTTGATGTTAATTGAACAATAATGTTTCACATGAATGTGTTGACCTCATTTTTAGTGAGGTCTAGTCTTCCGCTTAGGGTTTAGGATCTAGCCTTAGGGATCTCCCTTCGACTATCTTAGAACCTTAGAAATCCCGCCTCGTTTTAGGAGTTCGACCTACCTCCGTCCCCTTCTAGAGTTTCGCGTGTGTGGTATCGACTTCTAACTCTTAGAAGGATGAAACCAACATGAGGAACCCAAAAGAGATTCTTATATGACCTTTTGAGTCTTAGGGTAACCTTCTGCACAATTCGCACTCCCGCACGCATAAACTTCGCAATTCGGAGAGTCGACGCGTCTGATCGCCACGATTCGCATCGCTTGCACTGTTATTCGTCGAGGGCTCGAGTAAACCTGTTGAGACGATCGATCGCGGGTCGAAATTTAATGAAATTTGAATTTCACCGCGTTTTTGACCCGATTGTCGACGACGTCGTCCGGCGCCTCCAGATGACATAGCGGTCTGCACCGGCGCGTCCAGAACGTCGACTTTGCCTAGGAAAGACACCCATTTTGCCGCGTCGCCGCGCGCGAGTAAATCGTGTTTTAATATATATGTATATATATATATATATATATATATA